TCAGATAGATTTCCTTTCACCATCAAGCAACTGTTGGACATGGCTGAACTTGTGTGGGAAAATTGTAGCCCTTTTGTTCAGTACTTTATGCACTGTGACACTGCTGGAACCTGTTACCTATATTGTCCGAGATCATTACTCAAAGGTTATAGCAAGTTTTTCCACTACTTGTATAGTGCTAGGTTTGAGTACCCTGACTGTATATGTAGAAATCCACTTTCCTCAAATCATGCAATCAGTCTTCTGAGAGAGCACATAATATCAAAGACCCTTGGTACAATTTCTTAATATGTCAGAACTCTCAAAATACACTTGCTGCATTACCACTGTTTTCATAAAATAGTTTTACAAGAAAATCACATTCCAGCAAGGTCATCATCATGTCTGATCTGCCATAAGTGGTATGGGTAGTTTTATACCCAGAGATTGTTTATAGTATATGTGCATTATGCAATTGGTATGTTTTTTTTGCTCAGTACAACAAACCCTGCAGTGGTAGGTTTTAGAAATAAATTTTCCCCACGAAAAGGTCTTCCACATGTCCTGGAACATTAATGCATAAAATTTGGTTGCATTTGAACTGCTAATATCCATTCAGATAACTGATATGTAGTATATCCCTATTCAAAGCTATGATCACCCTGTAAATTTTCAACTTTATAATTCATCATTATGTTAAGTTTGATGTTTTATGTTTTGTATAAAACTTTGCTTTCATTAGCTGAACACACTGAAGAAGGTATGTAACATTTAGAGGATATTACTTCATTTTGTTAAAAATGAAATTTTATTCCTATCATATTAAAATGTCAAATTCAATGAAACAAAAATTCACTGTTTTCAAGCTTAATGTTTGGATTATATGATAAAGCTATATAATTATTATACATATTTGAAATGCAATAAATCTTCATTTTGAAAAAGATTTCAGTAATGAAGTTTGAGTAATTCTATAGAAAATATTTTTCACTTAATTCTATTACAATTTTAGGTTATAATTATGCAAATTATTTTGATTATTACTTAATAATGTTTTTTGTAATTCTTTCTTTTGTATAGAAAAGTGAAAAATAAACTGAAATATATAAAATAAACTACTATATGTGTATTATCATCTTTCAAGAAAAGATTATACTTCCCTGTTACTGATGTTAAAAAAATTGGTATACTTGGTGTCATTTGTTATCAGCTGTGTTAACACATGATAATCAGTAGATATCAGTATCTTTTGATAAATTTATAATTTCTTTCTTAATAAAAAATCCTTTTGGCTGACATTATGTCTAAATGATCAAAACAGAATTAAATACAAAAGAACTATTGGACAATTGTCTCTCTTGAAATCATGGCTTTACAATCTGCACTTCACAAACCATTACTGGTGTAGAAAGTATACTTGAATCCAGATTCAGTTTTTTTTTTTTTTTAACTATATCATAGAGCAAATTTGTAATATAATGTTTAATTATTATACTTGTGATTCTCCTATATTTTATATACAGAAAATCTGAATTAAAACACAGATATTAAAACAGTTATTACTGATAATATACAAAACATTAAATACAGAATCCGGTTATAACAAAAGGTATAAAAAAGTAAGCCTGAAGAAGATCCCAGGAGGAGAATCAAAAACGTTCGCTGATTTTAAAGAATTTCGCACCGGTTACTGGTTAATTGTAGATAGTTGTTGATTTGGAGTATATACAACCCCACCGGGTTGTATATACTCCAAATTCTGGTGAGAAAGCACATTAATTAAATAATCTTTAAGACATATCTGTAAAATTAAGATATTATTGATGGTGATGAACTAGCCACTGTGATAATTTAGTTGAATTAAATAGTGCATCTTTAACAGTGGGAAGTTAAAAGAACCAAACATTTACAACCCAGTTAACAGAATGCTGGCTGCCCGCATATCTGAACACCAACGTTTGGTGGCACTTGGCAATTGCGACACGGAACTTTCCAAATTGGTGATACAACAACATCACATAGCGCTTTGGAATCGGGTGGAAATACTCAAACGTTGTGATGAAGGGAGGTTGATATATATTTGGGAGGCCATCCTCACAAAACTGCTCTCCCCTTGCAACTCCCCTACCCTCGACTTACTGGACGTCTGGATTAATATATACAGGCGATTAAAAAAATCAACAATAATTTTACATTCTTTTCCCGCACCGCCTACATGACTCAAAGCGCATACGTGTTGGCCTCTTTATGTGCGTCTTTTTACGTGTTTTATATATTTTAAATTATGTCCCATACTTTAGTCTTTAATATTTAAATATTAATGTAAACTAGCACTTATGGATCTATTCTGTTCGGTTTCTATGCTGTCTATGTTAAGGCTCATGCGTGCCAAAAATTTTATACGTGTTTACCCAGTTAACAGACCATCCCCAGGTGTAGAGAGTTGAAAGTGGAAGTTTAAAGTGATCTTTTAACTTTATCTACCATCACAGATTCATTATTTAATTAAAATATTATTTTGATCAGTTAGAAAGAGATATATAATATTAATAATTGTAATTATTATCGAGTATTAAAAAAATAAATTTAACCATATTTTGCATTTATCTTTTGCTGATTCATTTCTCTAAATATAAATTTTTATCATGAAAAAATCTTAAAATAAGAAACAAAAATAAATGATCAGTTCTCAATCAAACTCAGCAATTAAAATTTTTTTTATTTAAAATAATTACTAAATTAATAAAAATTGGTGGTAATTATATTTCTTATTAAAATACAAGCTAGTTTATAGCTCTTCATCAGATTTAAACTCAATTCCAACAAAAGACTGCATGCTTGAAAAGATTTAATGTAGCAGCTGAAAACACTGCTTTATTTGAATGTTTTTAAATACTAGCAATTCCTTCATTGAATTTTAGTTTAAACCTAACAAAGAACTATAAGCTACCTCAAAAATGTTAGTTTAGCAAATAGTTCATGCTGGATGTTGAAATGCTGTGTTAGACTTTCTATAAATTTGTTCAGATGGAAAGTTTTCATTGATTTTATTTAAAAAACTATTAGGAAAAAAACTATATTGAACTAAATTTTTTATAATTTGTATTGTAATGTAGCAATTTGTAATATAAATATTTATAATATTTACATTACAAATTAAATTATTCTATAAAACATTCATACAAACTAAACAATATTAATTTAACATAACATTTCTATATAAAAAGATGCCAAATGCACAAGTCTCATTTTGATTTAGAATATTTACAAAAAACACAAATATAAACAGTAACTATTAATTTAAACAATTAAAAACAATTAAGAAAAAATTCAATATCCATTCCTTAATATAAAAACCATTTAGCCCTAGGTTAGAATTCTTCGACAGAAAACAAAATACATAATTCTACATTTAAACTTAATATTGGTATGTTTTTTAAAAATAAGATCTTTATAAAAGAATAAAAAAATTCTCAATAAAAAGAACAAAAAATTTCATCAAAAAATAATGAAACTTTCCTCCTTCAAAAAAGTTGTCTTACATCCCAGGTTAAAACCACTGATCTAATAAATAATGCTTATTTCCAACTTTTAAAAATCTGGAGTAAACATTCAAAATATGTTTACTCACAGAAAAAGTCAAATGTATTAACTACTGTAAAGTCTACTACTTAATGACACACAAAACATAATTTAAAAAGTATTTTCTATCATTAAAAACAGCTGCACAAAATTAAGGATTCAAACAAACTGTGATTTGGCTATTCCTCAAATCTGTTCATAGTATGTTTTGTCCAATCAGCTGATCAAAACCGCTTTAGTGTGGTGCACAGAGTCATACTGCACATTTTGATTTCAACTTCATGTTTTACTTGTGTTACTGTTAAGTGCCTTGTAATGTAAATCCTTCATTCATGTTGAGAGAGATAGTTAAGTGAGAGTATTCTTAGACAGAAAATGGAAGATACAGATGAATCAATTAGTATAGAAGAAAATGTGGAAAGTAGGAAGTCACAACTTTCAGGAAGTCAGAGAAAAAATGGAAAAAATAGACAATTGATTTGAATGGTACAAAAATATACTTTTTACAGAAGTTCCTGATAATGTGACTGAAGAACATAAAATTTATTGTGATTGTTTAGACAAGAAAGATGTAACCTACACATCTACACAATACAGATGCAAAACACCTTTTTTTATTCCTTATAAATGATTAAAAACTGGATGCTGTAATGATAAAAACACACAAAAAATCCATCCTTTTCTTTTTTATTTTCTTTATAAATAGCATTTCTCCATTATTGTCTATTGAAAAAGCAATCTGTACACTAGAATCATTCAAAGTATTTTTGTCCAACATAAATAATCATTTTTAAACTATTTTTCCATCTTCTGAATTATTATTAAGCATTTTAAACATAGAAAGAGTAATGCAATTAAAAAAATTCTATTATAATCTTTACAAATGTCCCTTAGAAACTTGTAAACAATTTTTTGTGTATTACTAAATTTTCAATAACTGTGACAAAACACATTTTGAATGTTAGCTCCTCAAATGCTGTTTACCGGTAATAATTAATATATTTATACTCATTGAAGATATATTTTTGATATTAAAAATTCAATGAAATTAAAAGACTATCTTTTAATTAGCTATATGAATGCAAACTGTAATTTTTAAATATATATTTTCCATTTAAAACAAATATTCATGTCCAATATACAATTTTCTCAAATCAATTAGGGTATAATTAACACTACAGTACATTTAATGATATTATTCTACTTCTTGAACACAGTTTACAATATTCTAAATTGAGTATAAAATATTCTGCACTGAAAATAATGTGCCTACTAAAAACTTTTGTCTCATTGAATAAGTGAGAAGAAAAATTATTTTGTAACAGATTTGTATTTACTTTTATTTATTATTTAATGATGAATACATAAGAGAATATATTGACCACAATAACTGATACAAAAATTTATAAATAAAATTCAAAAATTTTATTTAATTTGAAAATTGAGAAATTATTACCTCTTCTTGTTGAAATAATACTGTTAAACATTGAGAAAGACTAAGTGATACTTTACGGCATGAGTCTACTGCTTGTTTTAACTGATTAAATAAACACAAATAAGAAGGTTCCTCCAAAACTGAAATTAATTTATTTGATGTAGATTTTTTTGCAATATCTTGCCAAGTATTACTTAAAGCAGCAGCTTGTCTTTCAAAAATTTGTTGTTGAGCTTGAGCAGTCTGAAATAAAAATAAAAGTTATTTCTTTCAACAGATACAATAAATCAATAAGAATTTAAAAAAATCAATTCATAAAAGCCTCATAATTAGAGATACAGTGGAACCTTGCTTCACGAGCATAATTCATTCCAGAATGTTACTCATAAAGCAAAACACTCGTCAAGCGAAACAATTTTTCCCATATAAATTAATGTACAATACGATAATGCATTTCATGCCGAAAAAAAAACTCAAATATTTTATGTATAACGTTTATTCAAAGAAAATTATATAGTATACATTGTTAAGGAGCATGAATCACCTTCATCCTTTCTTCTAGTGCAGAATGAACCAACCAGGAATGCGAATTAGATTTGCAGAAAACAAAAAAATAAAAAATAAAAATACAATAATTTCTAATATTTAATTATAGTCTTTACATAGCCCAGAATTTGACATTGTTTGGCATGTTTATTATATAATGGACTATGATTGTTGATGTTTATATGTAATATGTGTGAACACAAGTTTGGAAAAATGTGTGATCACAAGCAACACTAAAATGCTAGCAGAATGAGTGCTAAACACAGACTGATGTAGCATGTGCACAATTTGGGACTTCTCCTCTCCTCGTCACTAATTATGTGAAACATCGCTTGTTAAGCAAGTCATTTTTTACAATTTGCTTTGCTCGTTATGCAAATTACTCATTATGAGAGGTGCATGTTAAGCGAGGTTCCATTGTATAATTGATGCATCATTACCAGTAAAGCATTAATGCTTTTTTTCCTAATCAAGCAGAATTTTACTTTAAACTCCTGTTTTGATACTTTTATTGATATCAGTAATAAATTTCACTTGCCACTATCTAAATCATGTTGATATCACTTGCCACTACTAAATCATGTTTTTAATTTCTAGAGTTTATTTTTAAAAAAGACAATTTGAAGAATGTTTTACTAAAATATTACTTAATTTTCCAGAAGATTTGAAAAGTCATTTATAAACCTTCCCAAATATACTTGCCTATCTTGCAATGCAAAAGGAACTGCCCTATTATTGGTCTTCAATAAGGTTAATTCAATAATTAGATGTAAAGTAATTTGACAAGAGAAAGGCGATTAGGCTGTTATCTCATGCTAATTTTAATAATTATAATAAATTAATTTTAATTTAGGATTTCTGGAAGAAAAGAATCAGCCAGAGTGGGACTAAACCTGCCACTCCAGCTTACTGTGCATGTGCATTGCCACTACCCAGACATTTACTTCTAAAGCTATTAATTTAGACATAACCATATTGATCACTCAATTTATTATAATTATTAAAATTATCACAAGATGAAAGCCTAACTGCCTACCTCTAGTCAAATTACTTTACATGTAATTATTAAATTGACTTTATTACAACTCAATAATATGGCAGATCATTTGGCATTTCTTAAAAATCAGATTTATGGATTGTTTATACAATCACTCCTCATTTGACGACCGAGTTTCATTCCTACGACTAAGTCATTAAGCAATGAGCTCAATCATTTTTATCTATTTAAGATAAAGAAAATGTCTAAAGAAAGCTCCAATTTTAAAGCTTTGTTTTAATTTGCAACTCTTACATATTACAGAACAAAAATACAATCAGCAAAAATTATAAAAATAATGTAACAAAAAAAATTAGTTTATTTATAAAAAATCCAGCAAGGAGTTGCTTAACTTTCCCAGCAACACTTGGTGACACATCTGTTATAATATTTTATTTAAAAAACTTTTTATATTTTTAACTATTATAAAATGGCAAAAAACTTAATTTTGGGGGGTAGAGATGAGTTTTATAAAAAATTGTAAATGCTAATAACGAGTAAAAATGTCATTAAATCCAACCCAACTGGATATATGACACAACCCCTTTATCTCCTCCAACCCTCAACATTTAGTCTTCAAAGTTTAATATTAATAGCATCAATCCCCCTAATAAACAAACCTCCCCAAAAATTTCATAAATTATTGACAAAAAGAACAGGAGTTATTAAGCTTCAAAAAGGATGAATAAAATCATACCCCACATATACACACATTAACATCAATACATACAGAAAAAACCCCTGAATTTTTTTTCATTTCTCAACATTTAAAGGTCCAGAGTCCAAAAGTGTAAAAATCTGGGGGGGGGCAATTTTGACTGATTGCCATACTTTTATACAGTACTTTCCTTTTCGTATATCATACTTCTGTTAAATATAACAGAGCCAAAAAAGTAAAAAAGACATTCACATTAATATTTTAGTCATCAAATCCTTCAAATGGGATGCACAATAAAGTACAAATTTATAAACAAAATATGTGGTATAAGTAATAGATATGTATATATCCATGGTGCGGTTTACTTTATATTACTTTTAAAAAATCAATTTTTCAGAAATATTTCCTCAAAATTGATGAAAAAACTTTATGGGTTAATTGTACCTAAATAACCCCCGTTTTTTTGCCTGGACCGCATTTAATCAGAGACAAAGCTTTTATTCGTATTCTTTATTTTCTATGCATTTCGGGTGCAATATTTTCTTTAATTTGTACCCCTCTTCAGGATTTTTACATTTCTATAAATTTGGTAAATTTAATTATTACATCGGTAAATTACTACATTAGTTATACAATGGTTAACTAACCTGTTTTAAGTTTTAGATCGACATCTGCCCAGTGTTGATGTTATGTCCCCTAAGGCATTTTTATATGCTCCTAAGCTTTCCATATCTGGTCTCAGATTTCATTTTTCTAACTCCATTCTAGAGACTAAGGACAGACAGACTGACAACAGTAGTATTTATACGTCTACAAATTTTTCCAATTGCAACCAATAAACTGGATGAAGCTGAAAAAATATACCAATACAAAAAAATCCAGCAGCATAAACACTTTACTAGACAAACTTTTTCAACCATCTGTTTGTTACACATGCTGTTGAAACCAATAACATCAATGTTCTTTTTATTTACAATTTTTGTTCAAATTATTAGGTTAAAACTTGATGATGATCATTTAAGACAGTTGAAAATGTTTGTTTATCTAGTAAAATATTTATGCTGATGGATTTTTTGGTGTTGATTTATTTATTTGTAACAAAATATACATTTTGATACAGAGCCGGCCCTACCATAGGGCGAACGGAGCAGCCGCTCCAGGCGCTAAGTCCTAGGGGGCGCCTCAGTGGTAAAGAAAATTAAAGGATATAAATTAAGGGCAACCAAGGGGGCGCCATAATAGGATATCGCTCCATCCTAAAACTTGTCTCAGGCCGGCACTGTTTTGATATACTATGTGTAGACACTTTAAAGACACTGATTAAATGTAGTCCAGGCAAAAAAACAGGGGTTATTTAGGTACAATTAACCCATAAAGTTTTTTCATCAATTTTGAGGAAATATTTTTGAAAAATTGATTTTTTAAAAATAAAATATGTGGTCTTGGAAATTATGAACACTTCATATAGCAAATAGCAACTGACTGCAGGAGCTAAGACTAAGATTAAAAAAAGGGATTCTCTGTACTGGAAAGTTGGTCGTAAGTCCAAGCAGTCATTAAACAGGAAGTTCATTAAGTGAGCAGTGGCTGTATACCTGTCCCGCTGAGAGACATTTTAGTAAAGCTGAAACAACTGTTAAATCAAGTAAGAAACAGATTATTAAGAAAATATTGACCAAATCCTATTTTTGGTAGACTTTAGTGAAAAAGAATCTGGTTTCTTTAATGCTTCTTGTATGACCAATAACATAATACTTGTAATTTTATATTATATTGTAGAATGAAATCATTAAAATATTTAAATGAATTCTTATTTAACTAAATAATTGAATAAAAACAGCATTAATTTTGTATGTTTCATTTCTTTTATTCTCCTAGGAAATCATTTAGTATAACAGATTGAATACAATTCTTTATCCAATTTTTAACATGTTGAATCTTTTTAGATTTTAAAAACAATTTTAGTTTTAGAAAATTTGTAAGATGAATAAGATTTTCTACATCTAGTAATATTTCTACAAATCCATTGTTAATTATGAGCAAGCTATTCTTTTGATGACAAATTATTTGACAAGAAAAATGATCTGATACTTTTATAATAATGTTTACTCATACAGTATATCAGAAGTAAGAACCAAGTAAGTATTTATATTTTATCTCAATATGATATATATGTGGATAGGAATTTGATACGTCATATCAAATCCCTACTCATAACTCATTGTCTAAACTATCATTAATATAGTAGACTATCAATTTTTATTTTTAGAGATATGGCAACTGGTCTCTGAAGATGTTAGCATTGAAACTATAATGACTTCTTGAAGGAATGTTTACAATAAACATATCCTTATGACATGAGATAACTTTACCAATTATATGATCAGGGCCGGATTAACTCACTTTGGGGCCCTACACATTTTCTTCTTACCGGGCCCCCTCGCTCACAAGAAATAGAGCACACAAAAAATATATAATAAATAAAACAAAACTAAATAATGTGAAAAACTAAAACAAATCTTAAATTTTTATTGATAAAAAATATTTAATACCTGTACAGGTACATGGGGCGCCTAATTTTCTGTTAGGCTGTTAGATACTCTTGCGCTGGTCTTGACTGTACACAACTTCGTATTCTCTATAATACACTTCATAACGGTATTAAATGACTTATTAAAGGCCTAATGCACATTGTTTTTGTGGTTATTAACATTGATTACTGTTCATGGTCAACTTAGCATAAAAATGTCCCACGGTAGGATACTTTTGTAAAGGTCATATTACCTCTCACTAACCAGTATCATATTTTCGTTTGCTTATACAAAGACGGATTTAAGAACTATATCTACATCAAAGTTGATCTTTTAAATAAACCATTAACAGTTAAGGCCATTANTCTAGGAACTGAACTGTGACCCTAGGACTGAACACGTAGTATTTTCTTTGTTGAATAAAATTTGTAATCTAATTTTGTAAATTTAGGAGTGCTTCAAACATGACATT